TTTTTGCTATGTTTTACTCATTTTTATTGACCGCTGTTCAAGATTTTTGATATCATTTGTTTCTACATTCCACAAATAAAACTATTTGAATATGGCTAAGATAATTCACTTTACGAAGTATGGGGTGATAATTTTAAGTTTAGAGACTTGTTCCTAGATTTTAATGAGTTCCAAACAAAATTTGAACTGTTGAAAGCAAGGGTTTTATTATCGAATACTTTCAAGAAGTAGTTGAATTTATTAACTGGATGGGTATTATTAACAAATATCAGCCAACTATATATATATATATTAGGGTTAAATGCCTGGGTAGACTCGTACCCCATCCCTAAAAGGTCCGGGACTTGGTCGGTTCACGTGTCCTGCATAAACCTCTTGGACTTGTTCACAAACACCAAAATATCAGCCAACTACTCGAACGGGCAACTTTTCGGTAGTGAAGTCCAAGGACGTTTGGGATTGAATCAAGTCACTGTCATTGAGGGAAATAATTAAATTAGTTGGGTACCAGGGTATAAAGGGCAGAAGGGCAACGAATAGGCTGATAAATTGGCTAAGTAAAATTCGACTAAGACACCTATACCTACAAAATTGCCCAAAAGGTGATCCATCAGACAATGGGTTTATTATTAATTCCTCGTGCAATGAAACACGCATGCAAAGGTCTATCGCGAAATTATTAATTTTAGGACGGATTAGGACTAGAATGATTGTTGACTGCAGATTCGGTCCTTCAGAAACAAGGCTGCGCAGATATTGCCTGGGAGAAGACACAGCCTTACATGTCCTATCTGAAGGCTGTGATTCCTACTCCAGGGAGAGGAAAAACCAAAGAGTGAAGATTACAACGATGGGCTCTAGACAACGATATACATTTTATAATAGACAAATATTGATCGCGGTGTACAAGGTAGTACAGACCGTTTTTAACCTTTAAACTTTAACTGGAACCAATAATAAATCAAAATTGTGAGATTTCGTACTGCGGTATGACAGAGTACTAGGATGAGAGACTCTGAGTAGAAGTCATTCCAGTCCATATTGATATGAAGAAGAAGAAATAGCGGACCTGTTGACTGTTGACAAAAGCTTAAGCTGGCTGAGATTCCTACTCATGGGAAAGGAACTGCCAAGGTCTGAAGGATACACGCGGAATCTTAAGATAGAGCTCTTGCTAATGATAGAGCTTACACAATAGACTAATGGTTGCGGTGCGCAAGGTCGTAAAGAGTGATAAATTTTTCGACTATAGATCAATACAAGTAGGTAACCAAGCATTGATTCTATTTCAATCAATTCTATTTTCACTTGTAAACCATGAAATAAATACATGGAAGAATCTGTATTGCAGGATGAGATTCCTTTTACACGGGAAAAGCTGAAAGATACACAAGGGAACCCTTAACAGATTTTTAGGAATAGGTCAAAAGTCATCAAAGAAGAGCTCTAAATAATAAAGGAAAATACACAGGAGACCAATATTGGTCACAGGGCGTAAGGCTGAGCTTCAGCCGATATAAGCTTCTTTTGTTATATCGTTTTGTCCTAATATACCAACATGTGCGTGACTAAGCTGGTTGACTTTAGTGGCTGAGGTTGGTCATGTTATACAATCTTGAATCCAACGTCTATATAAAAATCAGGGTCAGTATTTTATTTTTAGACCTAATTTTTGAACTTCTTGAATGAACTGAGGACTTATCCTTTAAAAATCATTAGTTTTGTTTATTTATTTATTTTTGTACGTTTGGAATCGTATGGACTAAAAGTGGTAATTTTAGTGATGGATGTAGTCCAAAATGGTTTAGGGTTTTATAATTATTCCTTAATTTTTCTGTACTGTTTCACCAGTTTTTATTAATCGATAGCTTTTGGGCTTGCACACGGCTCATCCTCAGTCTTCGGTCATATGGGAGATTAACATCTCCATGGGAGTTAACATATTACTCCAAATTAGTAGACGAAAAATCTACATACAATCATAATCATGCAACAATAACAAATAAATTCGTACAATTAATTTTAGAAATAGGGATTGATTATTTGAGCCCTGATACATCCTGTACAAATTTAACAGACTAGAAAGGAGAAAAAGCACTCAGGAAATCAAATACAATATGTGGCAAACAGATGACTCCAAAACTAGTGAAGGAACCTGGCCTGGCACGATCCGTAAAAACGAAAACTTAAAATATGAGCAGTGAAGAAGTAGACCTCGTTTCATGATAAAATATATGCTATCAATGCTTGTGCCATAGAAAATCATAAAAGAGAATAAAGAAAAAAAAGAAAATCGTGCACATAAAAATCGACTTCAGGTAAGAGCAAACAGCCTTTAAAACATTAGAACGTAAAAAGGTCACATTCAAAATAATCAGTGAAAGCCTCCAAAACCTCGGAAATATAGCAAACTTAGTTGAAACTGAACATACCCACCAATTTGGATAATAACTTCCATCACAGAATGGACAAACTCCAGTGGTGTGACAAAGTATAATTAAAGAACTCAGGGGAGTAATACGGATATATACAGGTCGCTGGCATCTGAGAAACACCTTCAGAACGTGGCTATGATGAATCATTTGTAGGTTATGCAATGGCGGCGAACGACTGCCATCTCGATTATCTTTGATTGCGAAGCGACCGCTCAATAAGGCTCCTGGAAAACCAGCGGAAAACAACTACAGCCTTGACAATGACATAACAACTTCTTAAGAAGGATCGTTCCAATTGAAATGAACTAAGCAACTAGGAAAAGTACAATAAGCTATAAGGCTGCAGTACTTGAGAATATGGTTTTGGATCGACAAAACGTCCGTTGCCTGGTTAATTATCATCACATCCCAATTGTCCAATATCGTACAATGTATAATGTGAATGTAGCCTAAAAAAATCAAGCACAATTGCTACAGTCAGACAGGATAAAACTCCAGAGAGTGATAGGGTTATCAATCGGCAACTGCCATATTAGAAAACCCCTACAAAACATGGACATATTTAATATTTAGTGACCGTTAGTTACTGATTATTTAAATACCGTGAGATGCGGTTAGAAAAACATTTTCTTTATCGTGCCGCCGTCTCGATCTTTATTAGGATCATCTTCAGGGCCTGGAATATATAAAGATTGTTTAAATTATGCAAATAACATATGAACATATTATATTACATATGACACATGAATATGAATTTTTAAAATGATGATCACGGGCTTAATCAAAGTATTTGTACTCACTCAAAGAGGGTGTTTAGTATAATCGTGTCAATGTTGTGTGTAGTGTTGAGATTGTTAGTGAGAATTTCATCATACTAATAATGATAAATCTGATAATCTAGGTATTAATTTTTTAATTAATGGCACAGTTTTATTTTAAAAACTTCTAATTTGTTGTTGAATTAACAACAGAATTCAGCCGTATTTTAGTCAATGTTTGGATACATTTGAGCTTACTTGTTCTTCTCGACTTGATTAATTGAACATGTAGTTTCTGAGAAGGTTTTCCGTTTCTTTTCGCTTGAAAGAACTGACTTTTTGTCTAGTATTCAGAAGTTTCAATCACAGCTAGTTAGGGCTCTCTTGACGGAAAAACCGAAATATTTTGACTGAATGATCGATGGGAGTTTGGAAACAGGTTTCCGGCTGTTTTCTATAAATAGGAGATTTTCTAGAGCGCTTCTTTGGATGAAATTGATTGTGTATTGCCTTCTTAAAATGTCAGGACCGTTGGGACTGGCGAATCCCCGAGGGTGTCTGAATCCGTCATCCCTAACCATCCCTAACCTGCCAGGACGTAGTGGGCACAATGAGCAGCATGAGTAAGTCAAAATCCTCCCCTTGCTCTTTAAACAGCAATAAGTCGGAAATGCAACAATAGGGCGATCGAACCGGGTTTTTCCTAGCAACAAAAGAAAATAGAGATTTTTGTTGTAATTAAATTTCTTAAGTTTGGATTTTATATTTTTAAACTTTACAAATGTAATGAGAGCTGAAGATGGCTACTCAGTAAATAATTTATTTTTTAATTTCCTTTTATTTATTTTTACGTTTTGTTTTGTAAAAAATTGATAAACTAGACATTTTCAATATTTTAAAGTTATTTTTAACACATCTTAAATATGAATGTGATCGTCAAACTGACAAATTCATTAAGAACATACCTGGATGTATATGTATACTGTTTTTATGTTATTTATCCAAATCCGACTTATATTTTAATGTATCTGCTTTGCAATTATGCCTCGTTGGAACTGGAACTTAATGATTAGAGACAATTTGTCAATGGAAACACCCCACGGAGGTTGTTGATACACGCCGTCATCAGTAATCAAATTAGGCCGTGACAAATTGTTCAAGCTCGCAAATTATCTCCAAGCACACAGATTATCAATACAGACAATTTTTAAAAGCCTTCGAATTTTTTCTCGGGTAAATTTGAGTAGGTCGTATTTTTCCGCGGCCTACCAGACGCGTTTGAGCTTCTCACCATCTTCAGCGTTGGGTGTTCGATTTTTATTGAAAAATTTGTATTTTTAAAGGACAATTAATAAACAACAAACTTTTAAATGTTTCCTAAGTATAATTAATGAAATGGAGGACTGAGGCCGAATGGCTTTAGGGCGTCCGACACGTATTTGCCACGCTAGCGGTTCTGAGTTCGAATCCCGGATTAGCACATGGAATTTTAATTGAGAACAATGTAACAAGTAATTTAATGTGGTTTAACCCCTCGTCCATCACACCCAACTGATAGTTGGACGTTAAGTCCTTTTATTTTAATTTATGAAGTGGTAGTTTAAAGATTTTCTTTGTGTAATATTATTTGCAAATTAAAGCTTACAAATTAAATATATTTTTAACTTTATAATATAATTATGTCTCCCTTGAATTGAATTGTGTACAGAAACAATGTTTCTCTTTAATTCTTCTATATTTTCAAATGTGTTAAATTTTTGGTTACCGGTTTAGATGAACTGTGTTAACATTGACTGTTTTGTTACAGCAAATGGAACTTATCAGCCGGGGATGGAACCAAAGAGACAGAGGACGGCGTACACGAGACACCAGATCCTCGAACTTGAAAAGGAATTTCATTTCAACCGGTACCTGACGAGGCGGCGGAGGATAGAAATCGCCCACACCCTATGTCTTTCGGAAAGGCAGATCAAAATATGGTTTCAGAACAGGCGGATGAAGTGGAAAAAGGACAACAAACTGCCCAACACGAAAAATGTCCGGCGGAAGAATGGCCAGGCACCGGCGAAAAAGAGCCGCCCCCGGGCAGGTGACAGGCGTCGGCTGGAAGGCGTCGGTTCCACCCTGGAAGAGCTCAGTCCCGGCACCGCAGCGCACCTGCAGGATCTCCACATGCCCTCGCAGCAGGAAACGTCCGTCTACCCACAGCCGACCCCGAGCCTGACTGCGTTGGGCCAACAGCTCACACCGCTGCAGCCTTCTGTCCATCCGGCCTGCGGGCCGATCCACCAGCCACCCCTGCCCATAAAGTCCTCCGATTACGGACTTACCGCCTTATAACCCACACTGACGCTCTTGTAAATAAACCGTGTTCCTTATAGTCATCTACATCATTCACGCCCCATAGATTCGTCCCATTATTGTTTTTGTTGTAATTACGGACAACTATTTTTATACGAAGAAGCTTATGTAAATATACGTGTGAAATTTATTGTATTAGTCGTTAGGCATATTGATAAAAAAAGAAGAAAAAGTAATGTCTGTTGTTTTTGTTTATAACGGCCCAATTGTATATTTTTGAATATTATATGTATTTTTGTTTGTTTTGAACGATGCAATTGTTTTGAATCGAAGTTCAATAAATCAAATTTCTTTTTATCGAAATAAAACATTAAACGGTCTTAATAGAATTGTATTATAGCGCCATATTTGACATATTGTATATTTCAGTTACTGTAAAATTTGTAGGATGAGTGAATTAAATTGTACACAAATAAAAAAGATAAGAACATGTAAATATCATTTTATTGACCCTAGTTAAATTAATTAAGAAGAATTGAGGTCTTTCATCAAAATCACCTAAAAAAATCTTAATATCTAAATAATTTCAAGTTTAAAATTTATATAACTGTATTTTTCCTGGCTTCTCAAAAACAGTGAATACACAAATTTAAAGATAATTTTTTTAGAAGAGCTTATTATTCAACTTGAATGATTTTAAATACTACAACTTTTTTTTTATCTTACGTTAAAATTGAGTTAATTAATATGAAATAATTTCAATTCTAAACGGTATAGATGTGAGTAGAGTTTACTAAGCTAACACTATGAGAACGAAAAAACAAGGAAATTGTTAACGTAATTACGTGAATTGCATTAACATTGACATTACATTGACTTTCTTAAAACTTTAGGCAGTTTAGCAGCTAGTTCATAGTAAAATCTAGCAATAGAATCAAGTATAGTGTACATAAATATTGGCCCAACAAACCAAACCCCATGCGTATAGTTTCTTGAAGGATAAAACAGAATTACAATTAATTAAGGTTTTAGTTGAGATGAAAAAAAGTTAATGGCACGAGAAGGATTCGAACCCACGACCTTCGGCTTGATACGCCGCTGCTCTACCACCTGAGCTATCGTGACCTCGATCCACTCGGACATCAACTCCCCATCTCAACCCCACCTTATGAGTTTTCCCTCCTTTTGCCATTTTTTTTTTTTTTCATCTCAACTAAAAACCTTAATTAATTGTAATGTATTAATTGGTCAAGCGGACCACGAAATTAATGAATTGAATAAAACAGAATATTAGATGATTAGGTTTTGGCCATGTATTAAACTAAAACGAGGAGGCTAGGGATGTGAGAACACTGATTTTAATAACACATTTTTGGTGGTATTAGGTTGAAAAATATTAGACACGTGTTTGGGCATTCCTGCCAACAGGCCATAGGAGCCATGAGAAAACAGCATATTTAAAGTAGTTTAGTAGATAGTAGTTAGTTAGTTTCGAGTAAAGTAGGTTAAACAAATGGTTTTTGAACAAAGCAATTCGGGTTCACTTTTAGCACCCTGCAAAACACAAAATCGGATAATAATTTCATTGCAAACCAATCATATACAATTTGGTTGTATTACTTGTGGGGGAGAATCTTTTGTCTACAATGTCCGATTTTACACTTAAAAATTAATAACATTTCTGAATTTTAACGAAAGTCAACGTTATGACAAATTTAGAAAGTTAGATTGTACATGTTTTAGGCTATGCCGAAAACGTTTATATGGTTATGTATAAGTGAGAAAAATAAGGTTTAAATAAGCAAAACTATCCCAAACGTTTCATTTATATTTTAGGTTTTAATTTATTTAGGAGGTGAAATTTGGGCTATTGCATGAAGATTAGAGAGGTCGACCGTCTACTGTTTCCAGTAAATTTGTGAACTACTTGCAAATTTATATAATTAGCTATTTTTGTGATCTTTGAAAGAATTGCCTGAAGGAACAAATTTGGAAGGAAAAATATTATTTTCCCATTTAACCAAAAATTAGTATTCAGGGGTCTTCGGGAATGCAGTAAACGAATATCGATTTTGTTTCTTGCTAAAAAATATCTTACCCAGCTTTGCTAAATCATCCGATCATACGTCGAAATTGTATTTTGCATCTAAATAATAGACCTTGTAAAGTAGACTTTTTCAATCACAAAAATAATTTTAGTGAAAGTTTTAGTGACAAAGAGGATATTTATTTTTTGCACCCCCCCCCAAAAAAAAATTGCATTACATAAAATTTGTCCAAATACCGACGATAAATTTTCATTTGAAAACTTCGAAACGAGTCAACTAAGCTCCAGTAAACTTATAGGGGCTAAAATACATAATTTTTAACCAACCGCAAGCAAAGTGAGCCAGAATATTTTTTTTATCAAGAAACAATTTATATTCGTTTTTCGCAACCCAAAATACACAAATTTCTTGAATTCAAAAGAATTTTCATAAAAATTAATTAAATAAACTGCTGCCAAATTATGGAGGATCTAAAACTACTTAGACTGGAACTTGTTCAATTCATCTATGCCATTCGTTTCCAGTGCCCCCATTTCATTTTAATCTGTTCAAACTTTTCTGTTTAATATGTAGATAAATCAGCACCTTACATTATTCATGGGCCGGATTTTACAAGAAAACTTCAGCAAAAGGCGTGTTTTTTGATAAAACAAATTTTTCACAAACAGAGATGCAATTAAGTGTGTACAGATATATCTAATATAAATGGAGATATTTGTAATTAATTCTTATACTATTAATTTTAAATAAATTAACCGATATATTCTTGTTAGGTGGATAAAGAAAATACAAACAAAAAGACAAAAAAATTGTTCATTTTCATTTTTTATTAACGGATTTACTTAAGAGTAGTAATCATAAAGATTGCACATTTTGTAAACAAACACCTTTTCTCGTATTTCCCCCCCTCTTTTAATCCATTTATTCCATCGTATTTTCTTTGACCGTCGGAAAACATCATTTTGAACAAAAGCTTTGGTGTCCCGGGCTTAAGCCCGATTCCGAAAGACTATAAGTGCCATTAGGAGGCCTGGTAGTGGATCTCAGCGCATTATGGCTCTAAGGGAGGAGAGAAATATTGTCATCTCATCGCTACAAGACGGAACTCATTCCACAGTGCCCGCCAGATCCTAAATGAAGTACAAGATATTTTGGCAAAGCCTTTATCAAACGATTCGAAATAGTTTGTAGGATGTTGTCCTCACATCGTATGCCCCTTTGTGGCGACCTGCAGCAAGTCCGCCACCAGCAACTCATGAAAATATGGAGCACCTAGAAGAGAACACCAATTGGAATGCAGTATGTTTACTTATGAGTCGCGTTACTGTCTATGAGTTCCAGTTTCTTTTACTATCACTATACTATTAAATTAATAGAATAAAAAATACAAATAATGCTATCCATTTTTGCGCAGTTTATTTCTATTGCTCAGAAATTGAATTATGGAGCACATAATTATTGTATGCCCCAAACAACCAAAAGAGTTCAATTACAAAACGGTTTTAAGGCCTAATATACCAACTAATCCCAAGGCTTTTGAAAAAAAATAAGCCACTACATTATGATTTTGATCATTTTGAATGGTCTCGATGGTTACTGTTATACACCAATAGTTTTTTCTTGTTCATGGGTGGGGTAAGACTTTTTTCTATGTCCTTCTTAGATAACATTCACTCTCTTGAAGCATCCTTTTTCAACATAGCGTGCATCTCCTTAACCATCTTCGTGGTCGCTTTTTGATGGGATGACAGTAGATCAATCGGGTGTGACCTCTCTCCAGGCGAGTCAATATTATTTTTATCTTCTCTTCTAAACGTCACTATTGATTGTTTTATGGTCAAAATTTATGGAGAAACATCCAAGTTGGTCGTTGGCTCGTTCATATTATATTGTAAATTACAGTCTGTGGGAAGATGTAAAATAAGACTAATATTATAGGTAGATAGTGTAGACTGTATTAAATAATATATTACTAAGTTTAAAAATTGAGATTTAACCTAGATCCTCGAGTTATATAAACCAGCGTCTTGTTTGATTATAAAAATTGTTGGTAGTTTTTTTTCTTTTTCGGAAATATCTCTTTTATCAACTTATCACGGCACAATCATATGGATAATTAATAATAATCAATGGCCTTGGCATCGAAATTTCTCCAGGAGGCTGTTGTGATAGAATTTGAGTTTGGCCCGGGGTCATGGGACAAAGGTTACCGTCAGTTTCCATGGAGATTTCACATCGGTGACAGCCGCCATGACAAATTGTCCTACAGCCTTTTCACATAGGGCACAAACGCAATTTTTGACGTACTCTCCATTCCCAACCCCTTTATACACTCCCACGTATCCAGGAGGGACGGGCTCAATGCTTTTTCCATTCGTCATGTGAGACCTTAGCACTTTAATTTTAGCTTCAAATCCAATTCATTGGAAATACAACTTGCTGCATACAGAGATACATACCGAGATGTAGCACTCTCTAAATTACAAGCAGTGTACACAATTTGACCTCCTAAAGTAAATTAGAACCGGAAATATATAATAAAACATGTCAGGTGTTTTCATTGATTTCATCCTTATTTTTCTCACTTATAATGAAATAAGATCTAAACGTTGTTGACATAGGGTAAAAGGTAGACAACCCGATTTCCGACTTTATGCAAGGTTTTTCTTTTTATGCAAGGTTTTTGGTTGAAATGAAAAAGTTAGTGTCACGAGCGGTGTCCGAGTAGATCGAAGACACGATAACTCAAGTGGTGAAGCAGAGGCGTATTTAGCCGATGGTCGTGGGTTCGAATCCCGCTCGTGACACTGACTATTTCATTTCAACCAATATCTTACATAAAAATTAATTAATTGCAAGAAGTAATTTGATTAATAGACCATTAAATATAAGGTTGTCATAAGGTTGAATGTGGATAAAACCCAAATAAAATAAAAAAATAATAAAATGTAGATAAAATTTGCCCCTAGCTAAATTCAGCTCAAAAATGTCTATTTTTCGTTTGCAATGAAAATACGTATTTATTGTTTTTACAGGGAGATTAAAACGAATACGAATTGGTTTTTCAAAAAACAACTTTTTACTTACTTTACATGAAAGTCATTTAGTTGTTGTAATTGTTCGTATGTTAATTCTTGTTGAATACAATACTAATATTAGCTTTGTTTCCTACGTAAAGATACAATTTACTATTTTATAAATTTGAAAT